ATATTAATTTTTCGCAGTTTATTTAATGTTTCACAGCGAAATTTGTTACGAGATCAAAACTCGGGTCACGTGCAGCGCCGTAGTTGTCCGCCACCGCCGCCGGTGTTCGTAACCACATCGTGCAAATTAGAAAAAAAAACCTAGTACCAATGACACACTGGGGCTTGAACACGAGTCCACTGGGTGTTCTACCACTGGGCCACTGCGCTGCTTGGGGCTTGTTGGCCAACTTGCTCGAATCCGAGTCCACTGGGTGTTCTACCAAAGATCCATGCCACTGCTTGGGACTTGTTGGCGAGCTTGCCTTAGGCAGGCTTGATATCGGGAAAGCAATCGCGTTAATACGAGTTATAAATCACTTTAAAATGTTCCAACACATTGCAAAAGCTTCTTTTTGTTTCCCCTTAAACTGTGTCGCATACCCACTTCAGCCACAATTCCTTATCGCTGTCAGCCACTGCATGAACAATTGGGACGAAATTTCTTCCAAGTGTTTAGCGGATACCACACTTCTCAGAAGAATGACAAAAAATAGCATAGTGAATGTTGGCCTACTACCCTAAAATTTTCATTATTAATGCCGTATTGGTAACCAAGCAAGAGTGCTTGCAGCAATGGGTGTTTAGAAAAGGCTCTGAAAGGCCGGTCTTCTAGCTTTCACTGTGGCTGTGCTGTGCCTTCCGCGCAGGGCTGGCGTTTTTTTTTTTTTTAAAGACGGTGGTCTTTCTTGGGGACCTTCGACGCAAAAATTTTGATACGTCTGTCCATCTGTCTGTCTGTCTGTCTGTCTGTCTGTCTGTCTGTCTGTCTGTCTGTCTGTCTGTCTGTCTGTCTGTCTGTCTGTTTGTCCACTCTTACGGGCATCGGGTACTTGAAACGGCCGACCCCATGCGCTGCGACCACCAATGTTGCTCAAGGTTGAGAGTTGAAGCTTGCGCAATTGTCAATTAAAAAGCAAATATTGCGCATGTCTGGGGCACCATAACAACACGCATATATTCTGTATCATCATCATCATCATCATCAGCCTGACTACGTCCACTGCAGGACAAAGGCCTCTCCCATGTTCCGCCAGTTAACCCGGTCCTGTGCTTGCTGCTGCCAATTTATACCCGCAAACTTCTTAATCTCATCTGCCCACCTAACCTTCTGTCTCCCCCTAACCCGCTTCCCTTCTCTGGGAATCCAGTTAGTTCCCCTAAATGACCAGCGGTTATCCTGTCTACGCGCTACATGCCCGGCCCATGTCCATTTCCTCATCTTTATTTCAACTATGATATCCTTAACCGCCGTTTGTCCCCTAATCCACTCTGCTCTCTTCTTGTCTCTTAGGGTTACACCTACCATTTTTCTTTCCATTGCTCGCTGCGCCGTCCTCAATTTAAGCTGAACCCTCTTTGTAAGTCTCCAGGTTTCTGCTCCGTAGCTAAGTACCGGCAAGATACAGCTGTTATATACCTTCCTCTTGAGGGATAGTGGCAATCTACCTGTCATAATTTGAGAGTGCTTGCCGAATGTGCTCCACCCCATTCTTATTCTTCTAGTTACTTCAATCTCGTGGTTAGGCTCTGCGGTTATTACCTGCCCTAAGTAGACGTAGTCTTTTACAACTTCAAGTGCACTATTACCTATCTCGAAGCGCCGCTCCTTTCCGAGGTTGTTGTACATTACTTTCGTTTTCTGCAGATTAATTTTAAGACCCACCTTTCTGCTTTCCTTGTCTAACTCCGTAATCATGAGTTTCAATTCGTCCCCTGAGTTAGTCAGCAATGCAATGTCATCGGCGAAGCGCAAGTTATTAAGGTATTCTCCATTAACTCTTATCCCTAACTGTTCCCATTCTAGGCTTCTGAAAACCTCCTGTAAGCACGCGGTAAATAGCATTGGGGAGATTGTGTCCCCCTGCCTTACACCCTTCTTGATTGGTATTCTGTTGCTTTCTTTATGAAGCACCACAGTAGCAGTTGATCCCCTGTAGATTTCTTCCAGAATGTTTATATATACTTCATCTACGCCCTGATTCCGCAGTGTCTGCATGACGGCTGATATTTCTACTGAATCAAACGCCTTCTCGTAATCTATGAAGGCTATGTATAGTGGTTGGTTATACTCTGAGCATTTCTCTATTACCTGATTGATAGTATGAATGTGGTCAATTGTTGAGTAGCTTGTTCTAAATCCTGCTTGTTCCTTTGGTTGATTGAATTCTAATGTTTTCTTTACTCTGTTAGCAATTACCTTTGTAAATAGCTCGTATACTACAGAGAGCAAGCTGATCGGCCTGTAATTCTTGAAGTCCTTGTCATCTCCTTTTTTATGTATTAAGATGATGTTAGCGTTCTTCCAAGACTCTGGTACCCTTCCCGTCAGGAGACACCTCGTAAACAGGGTGGCTAGTTTTTCTAACACAATCTGTCCTCCATCTTTCAGCAGGTCTGATGTTGCCTGATCCTCACCAGCCGCTTTGCCTCTTTGCATGCTCTCCAAAGCTTTTCTGACTTCTTCTATCATTACTGGTGGGGTGTCATCTGGGTTACTGCTAGCTCTTATAGTATTGAGGCCGTGGTTGTCTCGGCTACTGTACAGATCTCTGTAAAACTCCTCCGCTATTTTAACAATCCTATCCATATTGGTAGTTATTTTGCCTTCTTTGTCCCTTAGTGCATACATCCAACTTTTGCCTATCCCAAGTTTCCTCTTCACTGCTTTGACGCTTCCTCCGTTTTTCAGAGCATGTTCAATTCTCTCTATGTTATACCTTCTTACATCGCATACCTTACGCCTATTAATCAACTTCGAAAGCTCTGCCAGTTCTTTTTTGTCTGTTGTACTTAAGACTTTCATGATTTGACGCTTCTTAATTAGGTTCTTCGTTTCCTGGGAAAGCTTGCCAGTGTCCTGTCTAACTACCCTGCCTCCAACTTCCACTGCACACTCCGTAATGATACTCGTCAGATTATCATTCATTGTATCTACGCTAAGGTTGGTTTCCTCAATAAGAGCCGAGTACCTGTTCTGCAGCGACACTCTGAATTCCTCTACTTTCCCTCTCAGTGCTAGCTCATTGATTGGCTTCTTGCGTATCAGTTTCTGTCGTTCCTTCTTCAAGTCTAGGCGAATTCGAGACCGTACCATTCTATGGTCACTGCATCGTACCTTGCCAACCACTTCCACATCCTTCACGATTCCTGGGTGTGCAGTCATTATAAAGTCTATTTCTTTCTTATTTTCGCCATTAGGGCTCCTTCATGTCCACTTGCGGTTTTCTCGTTTTCGGTAGAAGGTATTCGAAATCCGCAAATTATTGCGTTCTGCGAATTCTACTAGTAGCTCTCCTCTGGCGTTTCTAGTGCCAATGCCATAATCTCCTACTGCCTGGTCTCCAGCCTGCCTCTTCCCTACCTTTGCAATAAAGTTGCCCATTACTATAGTATACTGTGTTTTTACCTTACTCATTGCCGATTCCACGTCTTCATAGAAGCTTTGAACTGAAGCGTCATCATGGCTGGATGTAGGCGCGTAAGCCTGTACTACCTTCATCTTGTATCTTTTATTCAGTTTAATTACAATACCTACCACCCTTTCATTAATGCTATAGTATTCCTCTATGTTGCCAGCTATGTTTCTGTGAATTAGGAACCCCACTCCCAGTTCTCTTCTGTCTGCCAAGCCCCGATAGCAAAGGACGTGCCCATTCTGTAGCACAGTATTGGCCTCATCTGTCCTCCTAACCTCACTGAGCCCTATTATATCCCATTTAACACCCTCTAGCTCCTCGAATAGTACAGCTAGACTTCCCTCACTAGATAAGGTTCTAGCGTTAAATGTTGCCAAGTTCAGGTTCCAATGGCGGCCTGTCCGGATCCAGAGATTCTTAGCACCCTCTGCTGCGTTGCAGATCTGACCGCCGCCATGGTCAGTTGCTTCGCAGCTGCTGGGGACTGAGGGCCGTGAGTTATTTGACGTATGCATGTGGGAGGTAGTGGCCAGATACTGCACCAGGGGGGCCAATCCTTCTCTGGTGAGGGAGTGCGTTCCCGGCGGTGGTTACCGGTGAGGCCGCACCCCAGGCCTCTTAATGCAGTTCCGTCAACACGCGGATTTTTTTTTTAAATCCGGTTGGGAATTGCGCGGCACCGGGATTTGAACCACGGACCTCTTGCATGCGAGGCGGATGCTCTAACCACTACGCCATCGCGGCATAAAATGCGGCGATGGCGTTTTTTTTTATATTCTGTATATGCATCTCTTACTAGAGAACGCATACATAAGTAATTTTAAGGACCGTAGCGCTTATCACGCTGCGCTTACTATGCAATGCTTGCACGGAACGAGAAGTGTTTCCAACGCTTTGCTAAGACGAGATGGTGGTGGCACCTACCCGTCGCCTCGCGTTCTACACCTTATCACCTCTGAGACGGGCGCGCACGGCCACGCGCTTTGTTTTCCAAAAGAAACTGCCAGATGGCGCTCATGTCTCACGTGTGACGTGACTTGATGCGCTCGTTCGCCTCCGCTGCACGCTTCAGGCACTCTAACGCAGCGCCTCAGGAATACCATTCCCCGATTTTCTTGCGCAGAACATCAAATAAATGTTTTATTCACTCTCTCTACACGCAAGACTATCGTCTTTCGACGACATTTGCAGATTACATGCAGATACGGGGCCAATTTTTTTTCTTTACTTACCTGTTCGTTTTTTTTTTGTTTGGTATTGTTCTACCTACTTTTTTCTCTGCGCGGCCGAGCTTTTTAAAACAAGGTAGCCGAGATGATACAGACATTTATCGCTCCACAGCAAGCAACGTATAACATCAGGCATGACATCACGTGACACGATCATATCAAGAATACATGACGCATCTGTCCACACCGCTTGTCATGTGTGGTTCTTCTCTTTGGTCTGTTGTTTTGTTTCACGCTGTTTATTATATAAGACTTCGTATCACAACGATCTTCATCTACTTATACAGTGCATATCCTTTCTTTTTGCAGCTAACTGTTCCTGACACGCGTCTTTTATTGGCAATTTTGCTGGCTATCGCGCTCACCACAACCATCTTTAGTAAGTGTGTGCTTGCCGTGCAGACTGCAAGCCGACCTCAACAATGTAAGTTGGGACATTTGGCTCTGCAAAGGTTAAAAATATACATACCCTAGGACGGTATTAGGAGTTGTCAACCTGGAAGCTACTATCGGTAGGGGCAAGGCTGGAAAATTTTGTATGCAAATGCACACGTAGCTCTTTTGTGCATGCGAAGAAAGAATGAAGAGAGGCGTCAAGAAACTGCTAATTTTCGGCTGTTCATTAAATATGTTTTCCACTGATATATGTAGAGGAAGGCACGCGCAGGAAGCTAAGGAAACTTCGAGCGCATACCATCTTAATCGCGATCACAACCTACGAGTACGTCATTGAAGTGTCACGGATAGATAAAAACATATTGTGTGAAATTAGAAAGTTCTCGCACTACCATTCACCCTCCTTGTACACACCCTTGACACCATTGATGCACATTACTATATGAGTTATATGCGCATTTTCTGTGCTGCAAAATTCGTCCTGTGGTCTGTTTCACCGCACAAAATGTTGTACAGTACATTATATAAGAATATGTGGTAAACACGTTTCAGAGATCGCATTCCGAATGTCAGTTTAACCAGATGTGTGAAAATAGCGCAAGTGTTCTTAAAATGCATTAACGAAGACCACCAGTTGTGCCGTCCGCAATCGTCTTCATACATGACGCATTCATTCGAAAAACACGTGATGCCTATTACGCACACGCACAGCTGGCTGAATTCATGTGCGACAAATAAAGTGCTTCTTTATACCATGCAGGTTTATTGTTGTACCGCACAATACTCAGAAAAAGCAAAGTGAGAGATAGCCTAGTGTATTTGCTACAGGAGTTCGTTTTGTTTTTTCATACAACGGAATATAGGCCAGTTATGCTAAGACATCAGGTTGAAAATTATACAATCAAAAGAAATATTCCTTGAGTTTACGCATGATACTTCTCCCACACGTATACATGTGGTGCTCTTAATAACAAATAACCAACAAAGAGGAAGCTGCTTCCCAATTTATAACTTTCGAGGGTGCCCGATTTGGTGCCTTCTCGGCTCACCTATTTTTAAAGTAAGTATTGTTATGAGCTAAACATTTAGGTACTGATGGCGATGGGATACTACGCTGAAAAGTCTGCCAGTGCACAGAAATTGAGCATCTGGAAAATGCAGCTCTCACAGAAGTACTTGTATGCGCCTTTCTTTCATAGCTCATCTTCTGTAGATTGTGGACTCACCAGTGATCAGTCGTATCAGATACAAAGATCTCAACTTTTACTGAACTGGCTTGTCATTCCAGGTTAGCTAATATTATTATTGCTTGTATATGAACGCATGACCCTTGTTGGTCACTGTAGCGACTGAACTTTCCTGCTGCTGAGTGGTTCAGGGGACGCCCGGTATGGAAGCAGCAAAAAGTTAGGAGAAAGTATCTATCTATCTATCTATCTATCTATCTATCTATCTATCTATCTATCTATCTATCTGCCAACGAGTTTTCGCTCTCCCGGCCGTTTCAATAATACTATCGATACCAAAATTGGTATGGAATAACATGACTACATGACGAGCATAAGTGAGTAGTCATAACATGAAAATCATGACATGTATGGGATGAATGTCATAATTTACATTTCAGGGTCCTGATGTTTTTTAGTGGTTTCGTTCTCATGGCATATGGGAAAACTGATATAATATAGCATGACTGCATGGCGAACATACGTGACAGACCGTAACACGTAAATCGTGATATGCATGTCATGTAAGTCATAATTACACACCACGTTCACGGTGCGCTCGCGATTGTTTTGCTGGAGCTTTACATATACCAAATTTGGTACTGCGGGACTTGTATGGATGAAGAAAGTATATTACAGGTGCGAACAAGATAATCATGAAATGCGTGTCATGTAAGAACATAACTACATGCTACACTCTTGATGCGTTCACGGCCGTTCACTAGCTTCGCATATAATGAGTTTGGTTTTACGAGACGTGAACGAACGACGAAGGTAAATGACGCGTCCAACATGATGATCATGACATGCGTGTCACGTAAAACATGTCTACGCTCATAGTGTGCTCGCGGTCATTTTGCGAGCTCCACATACACCGAATTTGATATTTATGTGAACAGGCGACGAAACATGATAATCATTATATGCGTGTCATGTAAAACATCACTACAAGCTACGCTCAAAGCGCGCTCGCGGTCGTTTTGCGAGCTCCACATACACCAAATTTGATATCACGGGACGTGAATAGACGACGAAATTAAATTACATGTCAAAGCATGATAATCATCACATGTAAGTCATATACGCCATAATTTACGTCCGCCTCGTAACGTTGTGCTGATTGTAAAGTGACATATCAACATTCCTCATCCGTACTTCGCGTTTCATCGATTCCCACTGTATGTGGGATCTGCAATTTTTTTTTAATATAATGAATTAAGAAGATAGCCTTTTGGTGTATGATGGCTGCACTACTTACCACAAAATCGAATTTATGGAATTGACTTAACAAACAAAGTACATTATTGAGCACTTCGGTACACGTAACGTAAGCAAATCAACCGTAATCAGCCACAAAGAACACAGTTTGCTTGATGTTGCGGCACCCGATACGAGAGCCTTGTTCACAATAAACGTCATACCCTAAACCCTACGTCCTCCATGCTAAAAATGAAAGAATAAGTAGCCGGTGCCTAACTTGTGCGCCATCACCTCCTCATATCACGTAATTAAACAAAAGGATGACACAGCTCGCTTCAACATACCTAAGAACGTGACGTAAGCAACGAGACTGCATTCTCGGCAGCGTTGCATGACTCCTGTTCAGCGTATGCGAAGTGATCTGTACAGACAGGATTCACAGGTGTAGGCGTGATGCAAATTTCTTCGGCAAGAACATGCGTGGTTGGCCAGCGAATTTGGTGGCTTGTGAGTTGCACGTGTTCAGCGAACAACATCTGAGTACATGTTCTGCTCCCGGACGTGATATTCGTGTTCAACTATTTTCTCAAGGACACCTTGTCTCCCCCATGTAATGGTTGTCAGACACCCTCAGGGCAGCCTATATAATTACCAACACCGTGGAAGCTTTCGCTTGGCAGCATGTCTTTTACGTTGATCAAAGCGTTTCTTAGCTTCCGTGTTGGTAAACAGGCTATTGCGACGTCGTACCTGTTCATGATGTGGGCAGTACAAACGGGTACAAACGAGATGAGTGTTGTCTTCTTCATAGACAGCCTTTAAAGCTGTTGCCTACGCCGTCACGATACTTGTTTCTTTATCTATACTATGCATTTTCTAAGTCCAGTCTGGTTATCGTGAAGTTTTAGAATTTATAAGCCAGGCAACCCTTGATTGATTGATTTGTGGGGTTTAACGTCCCAAAACCACCATTTGATTATGAGAGACGCCGTAGTGGAGGGCTCCGGAAATTTTGACCACCTGGGGTTCTTTAACGTGCACCCAAATCTGAGTACACGGGCCTACAACATTTCCGCCTCCATCGGAAATGCAGCCGCCGCAGCCGGGAATCGAACCCGCGACCTGCGGGCCAGCAGCCGAGTGCCTTAGCCACTAGACCACCGCGGCGGGGCGCTAGGCAACCCTTAAGAATAATCACATACTCACGAATTGCGTGTGTGTATGTGTGAAAAACGGCACAAAACACCACAATTAAAAAAATTGCTTTGCGCTTGGTGTTTATACCTAAATATTACTCCGCACATTAATATTTGTATCCCGTTTAAAAAACTTGAACAGAATAGGACCCCCCCCCCCAAAAAAAAAAAATTCCGCCATATCCACGAAGTGAATGATGATGAGTGGGCGAAGCTCCGGAGGTAAACCTGGTAAACGATGAATCCTCTGTACATTTTGCCCACTCGATTTTATTACATCGCTCCCCTAGCGTACGTCGCCGCACTAAATCGAACGATTGCCTTCAACCAATGGACACGCGCCATATGTGACATCATTCCTATTTTATAAGATCTCGCGTCTTTCATCACTACAAGTACCGCTTCTAGTTTATAACATCTTGCATCTTTTCATCATCAGCTACAAGTACCACCATCTAGTAAACACTACAAGAACTAAACGAGAGGTGGCTACATACAGGAGACGGTACCGCCTCTAGTGAACACTGCAAGGACTAAACTAGCAGTCCTGGATTACATACAGGGGACGGTACCGCATAGTGAAGCCCTGCAAGAACTAAACTAGAGGTGGCTACACATACAGGCTACGGGGACGCCACAGCCCACGCCCACATGAGGTTATGCTTCGCCCCTAAAAAAAGAAACGTTATTCATACGTACTTCAAGAAACATAATAAGCTGTTTCTCGCCCGTCGTCTTGTTGCAAGGCCCCATTCGTAGCCTCTTGCGGAAACACGAAATCTGCAGTGGCTAGCGCCACCAAGCCGTAATACCTAATGAACCAAAACTATATTTATTTTTTTTCCTTAAAAGTGAGTTTGAGGATTCGTACTTTGCAGTGAAGAGTTTAATTTTCACTCGTGCCTTGACTTTAGCCACCAATCAGATAACCTCCTTCTAGTTAAGTCTACCCGCTTAAAGTCTATTTTGCCCTCCTGGTCCCTAAACCCCAGTGCTTTGAAAAACTCTGCGCCATCATCCTGAACTATAGGGTGAAGCCCTTTACAGAACATTATCAAGTGTTCGGCAGTTTCTTCTTCCTCTCCACACGCACTGCATACTGTGTCTACCCCTTCGTATTTGGCCCGATATGTCTTGGTTCGCAGTACTCCCGTCCTGGCCTCAAACAGTAGAGAACTACCCCGAGTATTATCATAGATCCTTTCCTTGGCAATTTCCTGCTTAAAAGTTCGATAGATCTCTAGTGCGGACTTCTTAATCATGCCCATTCTCCACATGTCAGTCTCCGTTTCCTTCACTTTCTTCTTAACCGATAGTTCTTTTTGGTTTGGCCACCTGCTGTTTTCTAAGTATTTACCAGTCAACTTCCTGGTTCGCTTCCTCCATTTTGTATCGACATTCTTCAT